CAGGGATTACTCCTGGCTCTATGCTCAGGGATCACTCCTGGAAGGGGTTGGGGACCCTGTGTGGTGCCAAGGATCGTACCTGGGTTGGCCTTGCCCCTGTCCTTTCTCACCTGCCCAGGTTCAATCACATTTCCTCTAGAGCCACAGTCATATTGGACAGACTCTCCCTCTGCCAGAGGCACTGTTATGATAAAATGACACTCATCCTTAAGGCCTCAACCTTTGTGTCCTTGACACCTCCAACTAGCTTAGGCACCTGCTACATGCTCACCAATTATCACTTTCAAGAAGCTGTGTTTGTTTGCTTCTGAGTTATACCCAGTGGTGCTCAGGAGACTTTGCACTCAGGAATCACTCCTGTAGGTGCTCAGGGGACCATATGGGATGTTGGGGATGAGAGAACCCAGGTCAGCGCATGCAAGGCAAGTGCTAGATCATCTCTTTAGCCCTGACATTTAACAGCTTTGGTCATCTACTATATACCAGGGTTTGCACTAGTACTAGTACATAGGGCTATTCAATGAATAAAACAACACAAAGTCCCTGGCTTATAAAGCATATGTTCTACTTGGGGTGGTAGCCAAAACCCAGATCAGTTCAGATGCCTGTGAGAACTAGGAAGAAAAATAAAGTGAAGGGGTCTGGGGTGAGGGGCGATGACAGAGGGGCAGTGGAGGAAAAGGATGAGATCAAATTCTGATGTTTTGTTTGTTTCAGGTTTTTTTAAACCACATCCCAGAGGTGCTCAGAGATTACTCCTGACTGCACTCAGGGATCACTCCTGGCAGGCTTGAGGTAGGCAGGCAAATAGACAGGGAAAGGCCCCACCGCAATGAGACATCTAGGGAAGAAAACCATCAGAATTGACAATGAAAAAAAAAATTCCTGAGAAGTAAAAGTCCTAAGGTCGAACAAGAGCCAAGAGAGCCAAGATAAGATCTTCAGTAGTGGACTCTGAGGAGATTGGACCCCTCCCCCTGAAGGAAAATCCTTGAATACCCTCGGACCTCCCCCTTAATCCAATTAACTTTAGGAATTCAGCCCAGAGAAGACTTCAGAACACTTCAGACCAAGATCTTCCGAGAAGATATCCTATAAAAGTCACCTTGACTAAAGGAAGGGCATGCATATGTTGTCTAAGCTCATGTGCTGCTTATGCCCACTTGGCCAAGCACATGTAGTGCCCAAGTACATGTGTTGCCTGCATCTTCCCTCTTGAGACATACTTTCATGCTTTCATGTCTAGTGCTGGGATGTGTGTAGGGGCTCTCTCCGCCCTTGGAGAAGCCCGTGCTCTCCCTTGAGCCTGTTACTCTCTACTCTCCCTCCTCCACACCTTCAAAAACCGTCCAAATAAAAGCTGTTTCACTTCACTGCTTGTCTGCTCCTGTAATTCTTTTCTGTGAGGTGAGACCGGAACCCCAAAAACCCTGGGTTAGGCCTTGGACTGGCTTTTTTCCTGCAAAGAGCAAATCCTGGCTCCAACCTGAGTCCGCGGCTCCCTGAGAAAATCGGGTGATGGGGATCACCTCCCGTGCCTGGAAGACCAAGGGGACTTCAGGTGTGGCCTGACGGTCACCTGGTAGAGCTGGCAGGGCTCAGGCCAGGGCCAAGCAAGGGCTCATTATAAATTTTACCCGTCCTAGTCTTCCCAGCAGGTCCCGGGTGGCAGAGGCAGACTGGGAGAAGGTGACTGACTTTCTCTCCTCCCCAGCTCACGTGAGCCACCCGTGGGGTCCATTGACATCAGGCTCAGGGAACTATACGTGGTGTTGGCTACCGAAATTGGGTTGGCTGTAGAGCACAAGGTAAGCACTCTACCTACTGTACTACTACTCAGGCCGAAACTCTCCTTTTGTAGATTTTCCTTTGCTATTTCTTCCAGCCTATTTCTAAGGTAGGTGGGGAATTCGGCTTTAAGGTCAAGATTATGGTTCATGAACTTGGCAATGGGGCTGTGGGAGGGCCATTAACTTTGGGGTTGTCCCCAGTGAGCAAGTTTGAACAAGATCAGTGAACTGCCTTTCCAGGAGTGCACCTTGTCAAAAAAAGTTGGCAGCTGTCACAAAACGAAATCAACTGCAGAAGGCGCCACTCACCTCCTGCTGGGTCTTGTTGCTTCTTTTCAGGTGCAGACTCGCCTTCCTGCCCCCCCCGCCCCCACCCCTCGCTCCAAGAGCCGCATGTCCGGCTCCACAGTGGACACGAGATTAGATACTTCTTGCGCTGACTCAAGCTGCCCCCTTGCAACTACTAGCTTTGGCTGTCTATGCTCTGGGCGACAGTTCACTCCCTGGGGCTACAAGGCTTCCAGGAAGCTTGGTAGTAGGTGTGCGGTTCAAACCCCAAAAGTCAGGTCAGGACTTGAAGATGTGATGTCGTCGACATTAGTAAAATACGATTGTCCCTGTAATTAACAGAAGGAATGATGACAGGGTGAAGTTCATTCGCAAAGAGGGAAGAGTTAGGACGCAAACAGTGCCAGATCCTGGATGTCGATAGTGGGCGAAGTGAAACAGCAGCCTCAGCCGGCCGCAAAGAGAGCTGCAGCTGCAGAGCCGAGCGGGCGGAAGAAGAGCTGCGGGCGCCTGAGCCACGTGCGCAGCCGCAGGACCCTAACGGGAGGGGAGGGGCGGTGCCTACGCGGAAGGCGGGGCCTAGGACGTTTTCATACATCTTATTGGTCTTTGTGGAAACGGACTGATCTTCCTGACCAATTGTAGTCCAGCTCTGGCGCCAGCGTTTTGGGGCGTCTATTCGGAAAGAGGGCGCGGGAGGCGGGACGGACGCATGCGCCTGGGCTGTAACCCGCCTGCCTGCCCTAATGGGTGGCGGTAAGGGCTGAGTTCCCGCCGAGTACGGCCCGCTGAGGCTGTCATAGATATTGAGCTCCTTTGGGAGTCTCAGAATAAGGCATATTTAGTGCCCAGAAACTGCCCCGTTGGGAACCCCAATCTCCATTCCCACACCTCATCTTGTCAGCCTGACCGCACCCCTGCTTTCCCCGCGACTGGGTTGTTTTGATGGTGAATTATTCAAGAAGCCTCGCAGTCTGACGCCATCTCTGTGCTGTGCCCCTGCCTCCTCCAGAGGGCTCCACGCTGCCCCCACCATTGGAAAGCCCCCCAAATTGTTACTAAAAGAACCCTCGCTGCCGTTACAGTAGCTTAAGTTTGTTGAGGACCTACTGAGTGTTAGACCCAGTTTCATGAGCACATTCCCTGCAAGGGGCAGTTTAGCTGGCACAGAGTGGACCAGACCAGCTTGCACTGGACTGTGGTCTCCTGATGAGATTGGAGGTTCTTCTTCGTTGTGAGGGCGCAACGCGCCCCCCCCCCCCACCAAAGGGGATGGCCAGGGATCACTCCCTGAGTGGGGCAGTGAGGACCCTATGCAAATACCTCCAGCTATCTTGTCTGCCCCACTCTCCAGATGATTCTAATTAAAATGGGTAGCCATTAGATTTTGGCAGAAACTTGCTATGATTTATTCTCACTTTTCTGAGTGGAGGATGGAGTGTGGTGACTTGGGAGAGAGGGGACTGATGTGACTTAGGTGGCCAGCAAGCTATGGACTACTGGGAGAGGAGCAGGTCTGTTGGATGAGAGGAGTCAGGAGGATTTCCAAGCCTACGGGATGTGTGGCTGGGCGAACGTTGGGGCAATGTGGTAAATGGGAACGGTGGGAGAGGAGGAGGTACTGAGGCCAGAATCAACAGCTCAGATAAGAAGTTGGAGAGACTGGACACTTATCTTGCATGTGAAGACCCAGGTTCAATTTCTGACATTGCATAGAGTCCCCACATACTACCAGGAGTGACTCCTTAGTACAGAATTAGCCTTTAGCACAACCAGCTGTGACCCAAAAAACAAAAGAAAAATTAAAAAAAAAAAAAGTCCAGCTGGGGCCATGTCCGCTTGGGTTGCTCGTGGAGCAGTCAAAGAGGAAATAATACAGGAACATATGATGGTTTTGAAAGCAGAGGATCAGGGCTGGATCAATAGTACAGCAGGTAGGGTGTTTGCCTTGCACACAGCTGACCTGGGTTCAATTCCCAGCATCCCATATGGTCCCTCGAGCACCACCAGGAGTAATTCTTGAGTGCAAAGCCAGGAGTAATCCCTGTGCATTGCCGGGTGTGGCGCAAAAAAAAAAAAAAAAGAAAGCAGAGGATCTTGATTGGACTATTCTACAATGTATGGAGAAAACAGAAAGAGGAGTAAAGAGGAGAGGCAAAAAGGGGTATCGGTGACCAAGAGAGGAGAGCATGTGGGAAAATAGAGTGTACAATATCTTCAACGGAAAAGAGACATTTAGGGGGAAAGATGTAGATTCTCTAGGCCAAACACATCTGAGAGGCAGGTGGGCAAGGGCAAGTGTCACTGAGTCCTCTTTTTAGGGGCTGAAAACATGACCAGTGCCTGGGAGACAGGGGAGGAAGGAGCCAGAGATAAGTGGGCAAGGAAAGAATAGATAGCCAAGAGAAGGAAAGGAAGAGGTTCTACACTATCACAGAGACACAGTTAGAAGCTGGAAATAAACAAATGTGTTAAGGGGGTTATCTTGTCCTACTTTTTTTTTTATAATTCATCTTTTTTTTTCCTTTAATGTAGGAGTTTGTCCTATTAGTTTTGTTCTGGGGCCAGACATGGCTGTGCTCCCAGCTTCCCCCTGGCTCTGTGTTCAGGGATTATTCCTGATAAATCTTGGGGGATATGTTGGTACTGGGGATTGAACCCAGATTGGCAACTTGGAAGGCAAACAAACACCTCACCTGCTGTACTCACTCTGGCCCCTTCTCTTATGTTTATTTTCTTTGGGGCAGGGATGCACAGCCAGTGGTGTTCACGGATCGATCACTCCTGTGCTTCTCTGGGGTCCATACGTGGTGCTGGGGATCAAGCCAGGGTCATCAGCATGAAAGGTGAGTGCTTTAATCCCTGTACTAGCTTTCCAGCTGTCCCTAGATGATTAAAAAGGAAAAAAAAGGCTCCAGCAGAGAAGGGGAAAATTGAAATTTATTGAAGGCTTACTTAGTGTGTTCAGAGCTTTACAAACAGGTGTCCTCACAATGTTTTACGGATCAGGCAATTGAGGTTAAATAACTTGTTCGGGTCATGCAGCTAGAGGTGGTAGAGCTGAGGGGCCACCCAGACGTTCAAGGCTTCCAGCCCCACCAGCCCATCCCATAGGCACTGCCCTTGGGGCCTCGAGGCCATGTCAGGGATCAGCATTCCTTTAGTGACGGGGGGAGCCAGCCCTTAATTCCCTTTCCTCCTCCGATGCTGTAAGCAAGGGGGTCTCTTCGTGGCTGAATACCCATGCAGCCCCGCACAACAGCAGTGCCCCCAGCCTGGAGGGGCAAGGCCAAGCAGCAGGAACCCCCCAGGTCAGAGGGGCTGGAGTAGTTCTGGGGGGGCATTCAGCAGGTTTTTCTTTTGTGTCGGCCAATGCAGAGGGGCGGTGGGGGCTGCCGTTGCCTGTGGCCCCAGCACTCATCTGGACCTGCTCGCCCCACGGCGTGGTCAGAGTCTGGTCTCCCGGCTGCCCCCGTTAAGGCTGACGCTGTGCGGCCGGGCCCCACGCTCCAGCCTGCGGCCAGACAGGAGGCGCCGCAGGGAGGAGCCGGAGCTCAGATCCCCACAGCTTCGAAGGTGGAGGCTCTCTCGGCCAGGCCGGCCCCATGGGCTCCGGGGCACCTGCAGCAGGTGCAGGAGAGAGCATCAGCCTGGCCCAGACCCAAGCCCGAGACCCTCGCAGGGTGCTTCCCACATTCCCCCTGTTCTTACTGGTTTGTGCCCATGAGTCGGACTCCCATTGGATTCTGGGGTCCTCCTGGACATCTGAAGAAAACGACTGACCAAGCCCCGGCCTGGCCAGTTGCCCTTTAGGTCCCCCAGGGAGTGGGCCGGGGCAGGGCCGGAGGGCAGCGGAACCTTCTGGAAGGTGGGCACAGGGCGCCGTTTCTCGGCTGAGCGGGCACGTAGCAACTTAGGGGAAGGGCAGCGGGCTAGACGGAAGAGGCATGCTTCAGAGCACAGCCCTGGAGGGAGAGAGGGGGGTGGGGATGGCAAGGGCAGGAGGACCAGCAACACCCTGGCACCCCTCACTCCCCGGGCAGCCCCTCAGGCAGATGCCTGACCTGTATCTGCAGAGGACATGGAAGGAGCTTCTTCCTCAAGCACTTTGGTATAGAGGTCCCTGAAGTCAGCTGCGGGGCGAGAGGGGGGGCAGTGCGTGGAGGCCCTCAGCACCTCAGCACATGCCACAAAGACCCACCCACAGAGGCTTTTTTTTTTTTTTGCTTTTCAGGTCACCCCGGGCGATGCACAGGAGGGGTTACTCCTGGCTCACGCAGTCAGGAATTACTTCTGGCAGTGCTCAGGGGACCATATGGGATACTGGGAATCGAACCCGGGTCGGCCACGTGCAAAGCAAACGCCCTACCTGCTGTGCTATCCCTCCAGCCCTCCCCCAGAGGCATTTCTGCAGCTCACCCCTACCATCGCTGCCCACAAAGACCTCTAGAGGCTCAATGGCACCATCCATCCAGACAGGGACTAAAGCAGCCTGGCGGAGGCCTGTGTCCTCATCAGCCTTGGGTGAGTAAGGCAGAGCTGAGCATTTTCCCTCCCTTTGGCAGCGTCTGCCTCTGGGTACTGGCAGGGATGGGTGTACTCAGATCCTCATATTTCAGGGGGAGAAACCATGGCTTGTAGATAATAAGGTCACTGGCTCTTGCTGCAAATCATGGAAAGCCGGGGCCGGGGAGAGAGCTCAGAGGGCTGGACCCTGTGTCCGGCCAGCACAGGCCAGCGGGTCCAACTCCTAGCACCACATGGGCTCCCAAGCACACATCACATAGCCCTGGGGATCCCAGCACCGAGATCCCTTCTCAGATTTGTTTTTTTGGGGGGCCACACCTGGTGGCATTCAGAGTTTCCTCCTAGCACTGCACTCAGGGATCACACCTGGTGGAGCTTGGGGAACTCTGGTGCTGGGGATCACACCGGTGGCCCATGTTCAAGTGCGGTGTTCTATAGCTGCAGTTCCCCTCCCAATCCCTCCTCCCGGACTCCCCTCGGTTATCTACTCCAGCACGGACATGGGTCTAGGTGGGGAGTGCTGGACACAGCCCAGTTTTCCTCCCCAGGGCCCCAGGTACTGCTGCACCCCTGGGACATGAGGCGGAGGGAGCTCACCGTGGTCGCTGGAGGTGGTGATGCCCGGATCGCTGTGCGACCGCGGCAGCAGCAGCGGAGACGGGGGAGCCGGAGGATGAGGCGGCCGGAGCCCCGGCGGCGGGGTGAGGGAACCTGAGCTGTCGCTGAAGCGGCGTGGGGGACCCCCGCGGGGGGGAGGGGCGGCCGCGGGGCGGGGACCCCCCCGGGGCGCGCGCCGCCTCAGCTCGGGGAAGCAGGGCCCCCCCCAGGGCGGCCAGCCCTCCAGGCGGTGGCAGCTGCGGGCGGCCGTGGGGGCCCCCAAAGGCGGGGGCGCCTCGGGGGCGGAGCAGGAGTAGGAGCGGGCGGCCCGCGGCGGCCGCCGGGGCCCGGGGCTGTCCTCGAAGGGGCCTCGCAAGCCGCAGTCCAGGCTGAGGCAGTAGCCGGCGCGGCTGCGTTGGATGGAGCGGAAGAGCACGTAGTCGACGGAGCGCACGGAGCCCTGCAGCTCCAGCAGGCACGAGTCCTCGGACGGGCTCGAGCCGCCTGGGAGGTCACCGATGGCCGACAGCACCAGAGACCCGCTGTCCATGGACACTGTGGGCAGCAGGAGGCGCTGGGGAGCAGTGGCCTGGCCAGGCCCAGGCGCGCACTGTTCTCAGCCCTAGCCTGGTCGGGGCTTTTGCCCCAACTGGTTCCCCTGGAGGATTCGGCTCCGTCCAGGCTTTCCAGAAGCCACTTTTCATCCCTCTGGGCCTCAAACTGCCAACTCGGCCTCGGCCTCCTCTCCCCCCCCCCCCCCACCCGCCCCGCCCCGCCCAGATCTACGCTCCAGTCCTTCTGCTCACCATCTACAATGGAGGCAACACGCTCACACATGCAGGAACCATCATGAAGCTGAGGGTCGAACAGAGTGGCCTGCAAAAGGTGTGTGGGGGGGGGAGCGGTAGGATCAAAGGCGAGAGCGGGAGCTGCCCCCACCTTCCCTGCATGCACGAGGCAGGGCCACATTCAACTCTAACTTTGCCCCTGGGTACCAGTCACTTCCTCAGTTTCCCCATCAGGAATCCTAGTTCCCACCCCACTCCCCACAGGCTCTAGGAAAGATCAGAGCAGACAATGGACAGATGGACAAGCCAGTGCTAGGAAGGAGAAGGATCATTAACCTTTGCCTGGTGAGTGTAGCTCACTCAGCTTCTCCGGCCCTACCCCGCCGGCTCCCTGTGCCCCGGCGCCACTGGCTCACCTGGCTGTCTCCGCGGAGCCCCATGACAGCCTCATAGGAAGGAGGGCAATCGGTGGGGTACAAGGGCACTGGGCTGTCCATGGATCCATTGTAGGTGATGCTGCGGGCAAGAGGGAGAGGCGCGAAGCCTAGAAAACAACGAACTCCGTGCACAGATGCCGCCCCCCCCACCCGCCACAACATTGCAGGTCCCAGCCCGTTCACTCCCTCAGCCGGACCTCACCTCTGGGCATCGGTCTCTGAGCTGCAGGTGTACTCGGGGGGATAGTAGGGCGGTGGGGGCACCGGGGGGACAAACTCCTCCAAGTCCAGCATGGTGTGCAGGAGAGGGGCTGGGGGTGGTGAAGTACAGCTCAGGGGCCCCAGGGGGCCTGAGACCGAGCGCTCCGGGGCAAGCTGCTGGAGAGGAAGGCAGTCAGCACCTCCCCCCACCTCCCCATCCCATCCAAGAAGCTTCATTCCAGCTGTCCCCCACAGAAATAGTGCTTCCCTCTATGCCTGCCCTACCCCAGGACCTCTGCCCAGTGAGAAATCTTTCCTTTTGAACATCCCACCTGTGCCCACATTCTTACCTGCTCTCTGACATCAATCCTTTACCCACATCTTATCTAGAGGTCTCTCGTTTTGTGTTTATTTGTTTGGGGGCCACCCCTGGATGTGCTCAAGGCTTACTCCTGGCTCGATGGGTTGTACTCTGCCTGCTATCCTATCACTCTGGCCTCGATGAGTTGTTTTGATTTTTGCAAGGTGGAAAAGGTCCACATCCAGCTGTGCTCAAAGCTTATTCCTGACAGTGCTCAGGGAACCCAGTGCTCTGAGATGAAACCTGGGTTGGCCACATGCAAGCCAGCACCTTTCCTGCTGCCCTTTTTCTCTGGCCCCTAGAACCTTCTTTTTTTTGGGTGGGGGTCACACCCAGCGATGCTCAGAAATTACTCCTGGCGGTGCTTGGAGAACCATATGGGATGCCAGGGATTGAACCCACGTCAGCCGTGTGGCAAAAGCCCTACCCGCTGTACTATCACTCCGGTCCCACCTAGAACCGTCTTGACTCCTTGACTCCACCCAACTTCTAGTCCAACTCTAATGCCCCCTCTCCTGTCCTGTGGGCTTTACTTACTCCCCGACATTTTCATTTCCCCTTGGATCCCCAACCAAATCTCCCAAGACCAAACACCACTGCAGCACCCTCTAGTGTGGACTGTCACCCTCAACCAGTCCAGCACACACATACCTGCAGGGCCCTGACCCCAGGGATTCCCTCACCACTCACTGTGTGCACGAGGTCCAGGGAAAAGATCTGGATGCAGCAGACAATGGCTGAGAGGGTGCAGATGATGGCGGCGCAGACGGTGAGCCCACAAACGCTGAAGAGGAGGTTCTGCAAGAGGAGGGGAGAAGTGCTCTGGCTGGGGGGATAAATCCCACCCTGGGCCTGTGAGGCCCTCAGAAGGGAGGCGAGAGGGAGTAGCCTGAGGTGGTGCTTGGACACAGGGCTTCCTGCTCACCTTGAGGGCCCCCCTGGCCTCGTCACAGGTAGAGTTGGGGGCAACTTTGAGTTCCTGTCCAGACTCTGGGCAGGGTCGCAGGAGGGGGATGGGGGGGCAGCACACACAGACTTTGCCTTCCTGGGTATGAGTGGGGCGGCAGAGTTAGAGGCGAGCCTGGAGCTCTCCGCCCCCCACCACCCCAGCTCTTTCTGGATCTCACCACAGAGCATTCTCGGAAGTCTCGGGCCAGCTGAGCGTTCTTACAGGAGAGGACAGAGCCCGCCATGCTGAGCATGACACAGAGCACCGACAGCAAGGAGAAGAAGGAGATCTGCGGGGGGCACAGGGTGCAGACTCAGGCCTGGGTCCCAGGGGAGGACCCCTCCACCACCAACGGAGCTGCGGCCACATCCTCAGACTATTGGCGCCTGGCTGACAGGAACTGCGCAGCCGAGTCCCTTCTCAGGGCGCAAGCGGGCACCCCCCCCAAGGGGCTGGGCAGCTGCCTGCCAGTGCACCAGACCTTGGCACCTACCACAAGAGTGAACGGCCGCTTCCAGGACACGATGCCAACCACCCCGGAGAACGCCAGCTGGGGACAGAGTGGTACATGTTCAGCCTGGCAGGGGAGGTGCCTGGTGAGCTGCTGGGGCAGGGTGCACGCAGCCTCATGAGGGGTAGAGGCCAGGCTGCCCCCCTTGTAGCTGGCGGGAAGGGGTGGGGCTGGGCAGCCTCTCCCACCCGCCTCTACACCCCACTCACCGAGAATCCAGCCCAAGACGGGCAGGACCTCTTGATGCTCTCGGTGGTGGTGACGCTGGAGGCCACCATGCTGAAGGTGACCACCAGGATGCCCAGGAGCACCTGGGCCAGCCCCAGGGTGAGCAGAGCCTGCAGCCAGGGTCGGTGGAGGCGGAGGTGGGTCAGGCCCCGGGTGCTGGGCCGGCTGGTCAGCGAGCGACTGGAGTCACTAGGAGAGGGCATCATGCCTGCCGCCCGGGCGCCGGCCCCCTCTGGCGCTGGGGCGCATCTCAGAGGCGCCCAGGGCCCCGTCCTTCCTCCTCTCCAGCCCCCGCGCTCTAGAGCCCACCCCCCGGCTGGGTCCCTTGGGGCATGGCCCAGGGACGCCAGCTGCGGAGGGGGCCCAGGGAGGGGCGTCACGGAGGGGCCGCGGGGTGCGCCCTCCCCACTGGAGGGGCACCGTGCCCGCGGCAGAGATGAGGACGCGGAGGCACCGGCTCATCGCATCTCCCGAGCCAAAGGGGTGCCGAGAAGGGCCAGGCCGGGAGTGAGAAGAGGGCGGCGGTCGGGAGCTCGGGGAAGGGCGGGGTAAAGGCGAGAAGGAGGCAAAGAAGTCTGGGGCCGGCGAGGGGCGCAGCGGACCCCGAGGCCGCTTGGTGGGGAGAGGCCTCGGCGCGGCCGTCTGCCCGGTGGCCTGTCCGCGCCCCTCCCCGCCCCGCTCCGCGGCCCCGGCTCCGGCTGCAGCAGGTCCGGGCCTGGGGGCGGGGGATGGGCCTGGGCGGGGGCGGGGGCAGGGGCGTGGCGGAGGGCCGGCGCGGTGCACGCCGGGAGTTGTAGTCCCTGCCGGAGGCTGGGGCGAGGCAGCGGGTCGCCACCGTGGGCCCCAGTCCCAGCCCCTCCCGGGCAGCCCGCCCGCCCGCCCTGCTAACAGCCCTTTCCGCGCCGCCTGGCCGCACCCAGCCTTCCCCGCAGAGGCAGTGGCGCCCGGCGTCGCTAATGGAACTGGGGCGAGGTTCCGGAAAGGCTCCAGATGAGGCTCCCTGCCCGCCCGCGTCCCGCTTCCTCCCGTAGTTCTCCTCCCTTCCCTGGTGCCCATCATCTCCCACCAGGCCTTGCTCCCAATACAAACTCCAGAAAAGAACCCCCAGTTTCAGTTCCACTCTTAAATTTTTACTTTTTTTTTTTTTATTTAAATAACCGAAGCAACAGCCTTGGCACAGCGGAGGGAGACTGGGCTGGGGTGTGTAAGAAGGTGGCAGCGGTGACAGTCACAGTGGGCACCCCGCACCCCTTAGTCAGGTTCAGCAGTCACGGCCGTGGGATTGGGGGGCGCTACAGAAGAAACATCAAGTAGTGATGTGTTTCGGAGTCCCGGACAGGGGCCTTGCGGGCACCCTGGGGCGGCAAGGCCAGGCACCCCGTGGGGTCAGGGGGCCCGGAAGGCATTTTCGGCAGCCCCAGCGGCTGCATTGGCCGCGGCAGTTCGCACCGCAGGGTTGGAGAAGACACCAGCTGCAAACTCCTGCTGGGCCTTCTGAAAGCTGGCACCTGTGCGGCGGTACAAGGAATGGATCTGCAAGAGAGGACAGGCATTGCAGTCCACAGCACCGACCCTGAGTACTACCTCAGCTACTTTCCCAACACTGTCCCGCATACCAACTCAGCCACCATCACATATGCGCAAGCACACACACACCACCTCTGCATACTGTAACCTCAGCCACTGTCTCAAACACACCATCTCCACATACCACACCTCAGCGAATCTCTCATAAACACACCTACCTCAGTCACTGTCACACACCATCCTCATACCATCTCAGCCAGTCACACACACACACACACACACACACACACACACACACACACTCACTCCTACCTCAATCACCGTCACATACCATCCCTGCATACCACCTCAGCTACTGTCACAATACACACCTCAACCATTCACACCCATACCTCAACCACTGTCAGACATCCCACCTCAGCCACTCACACACCACACCACACACACACACACACACACACACACACACTAACATAGAAACCACACCCACCACAACCCACCAGCCCCCTTTACCATTCTCCCACACCACTATACACCACACCCTATTCCCACAAACACCTTCACCACACCCTCCCTCAACACTACCACCAAACACAAATCCTTTTTCAATCTTCTTCCTCCATCTCCTACCAGGGCCATTAAACCCGCTCATCAGTTTAGCCCTCCCCATTTCCTTCTTGAAGTTTCCTCCCAGGCCCAAGGGACCCATGATCTCACTCTCCCCACTGCCCCTCACCCGCTTTAGCATCACAATTCCCAGCACAGCGATGCCAGTGAAGAACAGGGCCACCAGCAGCATGAGCACAGCTACGGCCGTGTTGGTTTTCAGCACCACCAGGGCAGAGATCCAGCCACTGTAAGCAAGGAGGGAAGCATATGGCAATGATGAAGGGTAATGCACATTATCACACCTGCGGTGCTGTCCCACCTTCTCCACTTATGTTGTGAATTCACCCTCTTCTCAACCATCCCATTAAGAGCTGCTCCTCCTCTGTCTGGCAACTTTCCAGGGACCATAATCGCAGAGACAAGACATCTACTCTCCTCCGAGTTTAAGGCCAGCTCTCCAGACTTCCTTGGTTAGGGACGCCTCCAGGAAGTCTCTTCAGATCACCCTAGGCAGCCTTCTTCCCTCCCTCAGTCCTGGTCTGCCCTGACATGTGTCTCCGCACCACCTGACTCTTACTAAACTAGCCCTGTCCGAGGATGAAGGCCAACACTTCCTTCTCTGAGCAGCTGAGTCCAGCACCCAGAGCCCAGTACTCAGGGGGGACTTGGCTGAGGGGCAAGGGAGGAAAGGGTGCGAAGTGGAAAGTGGCCTCACACACCTGAACCCCCATCCAGGAATGCCAATGGCCTGAAGGACATAGAGCACGTTCTGTGCAAAGAAAATGAAGAAGAAAACGAAGAAATTGAAGGAACTGTCACTCCTGTGAAGAGAAAATACGGGGGGGGGGAGGGGAAATAATTAGGGCAGAAGGAACAGGTGTGAGACCCATCCAAGGTTCCCCCTCACAACTCCCACTTACCGGAAAGCCTTATACATGGGGCGGTACCAGCAAACGAAGGAACAGGGAGTGAAGAGAAGGATCCAGAGGATAGACAGCCCAAAGCCTGAGCCATTGTTGGTCTCCACGCAGAAGCTGGCCAGGCAGGCCAGGAAGTTCAGGAGAAGCGCCAGGGTGCTGCCTGAGAGAGGAGAATGGCGTGTGTGTCCCATACAGGTCCACCCATGGCCTCCCCAAATGGGAAAGAGAAAAGAAGGCGGCTTCTCAACAAGCCAATGTCAATGATTCACAAGCTCCTATGTCAAAGATACATAAAGGCTTCAGGATACACTTAAGCAGGGGGAACAAGGGGAGAGGGCAGAGGTTAAGAGCATACCCTTGCCTCTGCGGGGAGTGGGCAGACCTAGTGGTGCTGTGGGGACCATGTGGTTTCAGGAATCAGATTCAGGGACGCAAACAAAGCATGTGTACTAGGGACTGGCCAGATAGTACAGTGGGTCGGCCATACAACAGGCCAGCCATTTGTGTTATACACAGCAGGTTCGATCCCTGGCACTGCACTGGTGCCCTGGAGTCCGCCAGGAGTGAGCCATGAGCACAGAGTCAGGAGTAAGCCCTGAGCACTGAAGGGTGTGGCCCAACAAACAAAACACACACACACACACAAACAAAAACAAAAACAAACAAAAACAAAGCATATTACCAGCCCTCAAAACTGCCTTTGCTAGGAGGCTGGAGAATAGTACAGTGGGTAGGGGTAGGGTGTTTGCCTCGCATGTGGCCAATCTGGGTTCGAATCCCAGCATCCCATAAGGTCCCCTGAGCACCGCCAGGATTAATTCCTGAGCGCACAGCTAGGAGTAACCCCTGTGCATCACTGGGTGTGACCCGAAAAGCAAAAAATCAAAACAAAACAAAAACAAAAACACTGCCTTTGCTAGAAAAAAATTCTATACACTAATAAAAGAGTGGCCCAGGAGATTCCTGAGAATTTTTTTTTTTTCAATTGAGTCGCCTTAAGATACAGTTACAAGCTTTCATGTTTGAGTTTCAGTAGGGGCTTCTGAGGAAAATTAACCCTAAACAGGTTGCTAGAGGGAACTCCCAAAACAATGCCTAGTGTGGCACCCAAATCCAGTCTCCTCCCCCCACAATTTAAGGTGAGTGAGCTCTAGGGCAGGAGCACTGTAGCACTGTCCTCCCGTTGTTCAGAGAGATATACAAATTACCACTAAACTCTTCCTCCCAAACAAGCCTCTCACTACTCACACATCCAGAGGTAGTACATGGTGGATACCGTCTTCTGAAAATCTTGAGGGATTTCCATGGAGATGTCCTGGAAAAAGCAGGGCTGAACCGGGCAAAACGAAGGTAGTGGAGGCCAGTTTTTCTGTCGCGCTGTACGGCACAAGAGAGAGAACAGGGAGACCCAAAGGGTGACTCCTAGTATTGCTGGGTGTGACCCAAACACCAAAAAATCAATCACCAAACGAAAAAGACAGGCTTTCTAAGTAAGAAGTTAGGAAATGACAGTCAGAATTCAAAGCAGACTCCATTCCTCTCCAACTGTCTGGAAGCTTCCCTGTGACCGTCAACTTCTCAGGACCCACTTACTGGCTGTGCCCCCCAGGGCGGCGTGCTGCAGCTCCCGCTCCCTCCGGTCCAGCTCCTCTGCCTTGCGGTTGAGCTCCTCCTGCTTCTTTCTCAATTCAGCGGTGGCAGCTGCGGCCGATGCCTGAGTGTAAGCAGCGGCAGAGAGCTGAACGCTGGGGCGTCCCCTGTACCGGCCCATCCATGGCCACCGGCCGGCCCTCCCCTTTTACCTGGTTGCTATAGGAGCCATAATTCTTGGGTTCTGTGGGGCTGAGCTTCCTGGAGGACTGCAAAGTGGGAGCGGAGGGTGGAGGCAGCGGGCCAGGAGCAGGAGACGCATAGGCTGGTGCTGGCTGGTGGGTTTGGAAACAACCTTAGGGCTCTTCCAGAACAGAGGAGTCTGACTGCCTTAGACACAGACCTCATGACCGATGGCAGCAACCCTCCCAGAAGCAGTGAACAGGCGGAAGATGCCAATGGCAGAGAGTGCTCTGACTACCCCAGTCAGCCCTCATTGCCCTGTCCATCAAATTCTTCAGCAGGAACTCAGAGCACCGATCTCAACTCTGCAAAACGCTTTCCCAATTCCTATTTCAGCGGGACAAACAGAAACCTCCTTCCCTGCTTCCTGACTGCACAACTAAGCAGTCTGGCCTCTTCCCAGCTACATTCTCCCTCCGCCCCTCCCCCACCCCAGAAGCCTTCCTGATGGAACCTTGGTTCGGCCCCGCCAGACTCAGTCCTCGGGGAGCCCACCTTTACATAAAGCTCCCACGGGATCGCTGGCCCGGGGCCATCCCTTGCGCGGCCGAGAGGCAGCATCGCTGTGCCCTTTCCTTTGCCCCCAGAAAAGCGCCCTGTACCAGACAGTGGGGTTCGCGGCCCGCCCTCCTCTTCCGTGTCCTCCCCGGCAGCTCACCTCTCCCGTCTCAAAAGGGTTGTACACGTCAAGCGTGGCATACTGCGGGCTGGGTCGGTGCTGGATCACGGCGGGGTCCTGCGGTAGAGACGGGGGGGCTCAGTGGGGACCGGTGCGTGCCTCTGGGGGGGAACCCTCAGAACCCTCTTCCACTGCCGGTGGCGCTCAGGAACGTACCTCGGGGGCCGCGCTTTTGTCCCACGGCATGCCCCGAGTCCTTCACCCCACACTGCCAATACCAGCTCCATCCAGGGGCCGGGCCCGCCACCCCCACCGCGCTCGCGGGTCTGGAGTCACGGTCGCCCCACGTGGCGGCCCTCCTCTGGATCAAATGTCACGCGAGGGACGACGAGCGCGCCCGACCCTCCAGCTCCCAGCGGAATCCACCCAACTGCCCCGAGGAGCCTGCGCAAGTCACCTGAAAGGGGTTGTCGAGCTCGCCGCTCTCGGCGAAGGGGTTCCCGCCGTCCCGGTTCTGGGCCATGTCTGCCGCAGCGGCCCGGGCCGCCCCCGCCCTCCGCGACCCCCGCCGCGGCAGTGGCGGCAGCGGCTCGTCTCGATCCTTGCGCTTCCCTGGGTCCGCCCCGCTCCGCGCTGCACGGATTGGCCACCCCGACCGGAAGAGTCGCAAGGATTCCCGCAGCCGCGCCGCGCCGCGCCTGCGCCACAGCCCAGCGCGAAGACGGAAGTGCCCCACGTGATGCCCCCCACCCACTCCGCGGAGCCCTGAGCCGCTCCGCACTCACGTGACTTCCCTCCCGCAACGAACTCCATTTCCCGGCGAGCCACGCGCCCGATCCCCCCACCCATCCGGTTGTCCCGAGAGGTACGACGGGAGTTTGCGGCCGCGGCGGGCCGGACTTGGTAGGACGCCTTCCCACAGTTTTAGAGACAAGTTTTCTAAGCCCGGGTTCCGCGTTCTTCCCTCCCTCCCCCCCCCGCTCCGGGGGCCCGCCAAACTTCCTCCCCTGGGCTCTTTCCAGACCAACTCAGCCCTACCTCAGCGCCCCTCTCTGAGCTCAGCTGCGATAAACAGGGCTCCACCCGCCGCTCTCTCTTGGAGCCCAAGGGGAAGGCGGGGGTGGAGGGGGCTGGAGGTGGGGTGCATAGTGGAGGCCAAAATGGGGCTTTCACCCGCAAATGCTCACCCCTCCACCCCCACATCCCAAACCTCAACTCCAGGGCTGGGGGTCAGATGAAGCACGTCATTTTATTTCACAAAGACTGTACAAAATTCCTTATAAAACAAGCGATGCCACCGAATTACTTCCGTCTGCCCCCATCCGACTCAAGTGAGGGGCAGGCGAGGGTGGAATGAGTGTGGGGCGGAAGAGCATTCTGTACAGGGCAGGGGTGGAGGCGGAGGTACCAGTTCTTTCGTATTTACTGTACATATTTACTGTACATATTCACAGCTAGAGAGGGAGCCAGGAGGAAGGAAGGGGCTCTGGCTCCGTTCTCGTGTATAAAAAAGCACCAGTGTCCTGGACTGGACCCCCACTGCTGTAAGAGGTGCAGGGAGGCCCAGGGCCCGATCGTCACCGACTGATATCTCGACTGGAGTCCCACAACTTGGCGTTGGGCTGATCAGCCCGGAGGCGGGCGAAGAAAGGATGCTGAAGGGCTTCGCCTAAGGTTAGTCGCTTGGCAGGTTCATACTCTAGCATGCTTTCAATCAGATCGAAGAGCTCGTGGTGTTCCTCTGCCTCTGAGGTCAGATACCGCTGGTGGTGGAGGGCAGGAGAAAGGTGAGGCACAGCCAGCGCCTAGCAAACCCTGCCTTCTTCACGGCCCTAGCTTTCCATCTCCAAGCAGCAAGGCTCTGCTTGCAATGATGATGAGAGCTGCCCTACACAAGCACACCATGACCCGCAGGCCTGATATTACAACTCAACCTACCTTCCTACTAGCACAATTACTCCTTCATACTCTTTCAAAGTTCTTTCTACTTGTATATCCTTGTCAACTTCATGATTCTTCTTTAGCTCCTCATTAAAATGTAAGCTCTTCAAAGGTAGTTTATTCTTTTCTGTCTGACCTAAAGAATCCAGGACATGGCTTTGATGTCTGGTTGACTCAACAAAGACATGACTGTCTAACTTCCTTCCCTCCACAAAACCACTCCCTTTTTTTTTTCTCCTCGTCTAGTGGCCAAAGATGTCTTCTTTTTGTTTTCCTCCCCATTTTTCCTAACCCTTTGCCTGTTAAGTGTATTCCAGGGGCAAACCACCATAAGGAGGAGGTGACCTCTGGGTGGTGGGCACTTTTATCCCCAGCTTGGCTCACCCGCAATGGTTTGCAGTTTTCTCGAACATAGCGCCCGGCTGACGTGTTTTCATCCCAATCCAGGCGACCCCGATAAAAATATTTCTGTTTCCTAGAGTGGAAGGGGAGGTTGAGGTATCAAGAGGTGCCTCTTGTCACAGGATAAATCCCTCCCCCCCATCTAGATTAGCTGGGGAAGGTGCCCATGGGTGGGGGGGAAATGATGTGACACTGACCAATTTCGTGGAAAGGAAAAGAAAACGGGCTAAGTCCCTCCCAGTTCAGGTTCACCTTGTCTTTCGGATCATCCGTGAAGGGATAGGACCCAAGATCCTTTCCATCATTGCTAGATGTTCTCTGTTGTCATGGGTCTGGGGAACAAAGGCAGAACTGAACATGGGGACAGGACGGGGATGCTAATGACTTTATGCTAGGAAGAGAAGCGTCGCGAACAAGTGGGTCCTCAGCAGACCAAGAAACAAGAGTGGAAGACGATGGGTGGTAGCACTGAGGTACCCACCCCTACCTGGAAGAGGGTGAAGCCGACATAATACTCAAAGATGATGCATCCTATGCTCCACACATCACAAGGCTGGGACCAGCCCAATTCTGGGGGAACGACAGGAGGGAAAAGGCATTAGGTTCAGAGATCCCCTTTAACCACACCCCCGTGCAGACCTTAACCACCACCTTTGCCCTGCTTACCAAGGATGACCTCTGGGGCCCGGTAATGGCGTGTGGAGACAATGGTGCTGTGGTGCTCATGATCAAAGGTGGCACTGCCAAAGTCCACAACGCGCACGGCTGTACTCTTCACACTGCGCTCATCTCGCTTCTGGGAGGCAAGTGGAATGAAAGTGAACCACTGTGGCCCAGATGGCAGATTTCCCTGCTGTTCTCTCATGTACTTCAGGTCTCAAAAAGTTAGCTGTGGCCTCTGCCTGTTCCCACCAAGCCAGAGAACTGTCTCCTTTGGAACACCCCTTGCAACCTGCTTCAGGCCTTCAGGAGAATAGGACTAAGGAAAGCATACAGGTCTTTATATATAGGAAGACTAGCTCTAGGACTACTGTGTATCTTTTCTGCAAATGTGTAACAGTTGCAAAGAAATCAAGGAGCTCCCTGGGCTAGGATCTCCCCTTTCCTCCCAGAAACAGAAATCTAAGAAAGAGAAGCCAGCCCAAACCAAAAACCTTCAAAGCATTTCCACTTTCTTACAGTTTTGAGCTATTTCTCAAAATATGTTCTCTTTCAACTTTATGATTTGTGGGCCACTCCTGGCAGTGATCAGGGCACTGTATGGGTGCCAGGAATCAAACCCCAGCCAGCAATGTGCAAGGCAATTGCCTTACCCACTGTACTATGCTCCAGACTCTTCTCTTCCAAATTTAGTCTTTTTGTTTTTTGCTTTTTGGGTCAGACCCGGCGATGCACAGGGGTTACTCCTGGCTCTGCACTCAGGATTACTCCTGATGGTGTTCAGGGGACCATATGGGATGCTGGGAATCGAACCCGAGTTGGCTGCGTGGCCACGTGTAAGGCAAACATCCTACCCGCTGTGCTATTACTCCAGCCCCCAAATTTAGTCTTTTGCAAAATTCCCTGGGCCAGAGAAATAGTACAGTGGGTAAGGCACTTGCCTTGCATGCCATCGGCCCAGGTTTGATCCCTAGCACCCCACCGGGTCCTCCAAGCCCCACCAGGAGTGGGCCGTGAGCACTATGGAGGGTCACCCAACAATAAAATCCCTTTCCCTCCTTTTAATCTGTTGTGGCATTTTAGCTTGACTCAGGTAGAGCCAGACTGGGAGAAAAAAGAGTGAAAGGATTCGAAGGAGCAAGGCAAAGTGGCTGGCTGCTTGCTTCCACTGGCCAAGGCTAGAGACCCCATTCATCTCACCTTCTCTAGGTTGTAGGTGAGCTCATAGTCCGAATTCACAAAGAGAATGTTTTCAGGCTTGAGGTCCGTATGTGTCAGCTTGTTATCATGGAGGACTGCAGGGGAGAAGGCCAGGTTAGACTGGGTGCAGGCGGCCAGGGCTGACTGGCACTGAGCCCAGAGCTGGGGAGGCGGCAGGACCAGTGACTCGGCTGCTTTCTGCTCAACTTCCAAATGAAATGCCTGGTCTAAGAGCTCCTCACTCACTTACATAAGACCTATATGTGGTCCTCAAGTGATGGACAAGATGTCTTACTGCAGGTTCTATGTTTGTCCCAAGTCTGACCCATACATGAACCCGATGCTCATAACTCCGTGAAACCAGCATGCTCTGAAGATTTAAGAGGAAGCTGGGACTAGACCCAATTCCCTACCCGGCCTTCAGCTGAATGACCTTGGCCCACCAGGACCTATGCGGGGCATCTCCTCTCAGACAAACGTAGAGCCTCTAGCATGAGGAGTCTTTTTGTCTCTCTGAACATGCTACCTGACTTACATTTTCCCAAGAAAGGAAAATGAAGGGGGAAAGAGGCAACCCAGTATTTTAACTCCAAAGGCTTTTTCTTCCAGCGTCAGTCGGACTGGAGCTAAGAGCAATGGGTGATGGTGAAGACACCAATCAAGGAGCAAAGTCAGAAGAGGTGATGTTAACAAGCCAGGAAATAGAAGAAGTATGGAGCACCAAGATGCTTATTTAGGGACTTCACCAGTACACAACTGACAGAAGAGGTCCCATGGAGGGAGGGGCGCCCCCAGAGTCCACCTCAGCCCGCCCCACTCACACTTGACGGCCTGGCACAGCTGGAAGGCCATGTGGCGCACTTGGTGGATGGGGTAAGGCAGGTAGTTGTTGTCTTTGAGGAAATCGAAGGTGCTAAGGCCCAGAAGCTCAAAGGAGATACACATGTGGCCATGGTAGTCAAACCAGTCAAACATCTGGACACAGAGGCTGGGAAGAAAGATGGGGGGAGGGGACGTTGGATGAGCTGCCATCGCCCCACCACCCCTCCGAGGGATGCCGCAGCGTTGAAACTCCAGGCATGCCAGCTAGTGTGACCAGGACATTCCTCTTAGGTAAGGAATGCTCTTTTTGGCAGACCCAAGAAAAGAGATGCTACCGAAAGAGGTGCAGGCAGGGTTAATACTACCAGCTTCTAAGTGTTTCCCGGCATTTTATATCATTGTAAAAAATCATCTCCTTGTTGAAGAGCCATCAGGAGTGCAGAGCTCCAGGGTGGGCTCTGGATTGTCAGACTGTCACTCCTGATTCCTAAAATTCACTCAGCACCAGTCCCCACCAAGCCCTTGCCCAGTCCCCCAGAGTCAGGTCTTCACTCAATGTTCTGTATTCGGCTCGTGAGAGTTGTGAACAGAGAACAGCAGATATCTATGTGGCCTCATCTGCA